ACACACACACACACACACACACACACATACATACATACACATACACACACACATACATACATACATACACATACACATACATACATACATACATTTGTTAATATATATTTAATTAACATTTGTAACTCTGAGTCTCATGATAACCATAAAACCATGTCTTTATGTTTATTAGGGCTCTGCAGAGCATCCCAAGAAACACTCAGTGAAGCCTATTAGCATAAGTGAAACATCCCTTTTCTAAGCAGAGAGGCCATATGTATCCATCCATCCAGATACCTGGCACATCTGCAAGAGCTTTCCTGGATTACCTTTGCATGTGTGTGCATCTACCCACAAGACCTCTGCAGCTGCCAGTGAATTCTGCTTCAATAGTTCAGTGAAGAGTACTTTGCTTGGCCAACAAGCTACACAAAGCTCTTCTTTCAGCGCTTTACACAGTTATTGCAATGTTTAAACTTTTACTTTTATTAAAATTAAAAAGGGGGATTCTGAGTTTGCCAGGGCTTATACCACAGAACAATTCCTTTATAGAGACTTAATGGACTGGCTTTGTTTCATGCTTCTGAGTTTTTTCAACTAATTGAACCAGGATATCCTTTGTACCTTTCATTTGATTTCTGCCATTATGTGGTATTATCTGATCTATATAACCACCCATTTCACTTTCATGTGACTCTTAGAATAAAGCAAATAAAAATACAAAATATGTGATTTAAAACAAAAATAAAAATACATAGCAGCTGGATATGATCTAACCTAACACCCATACAACCAAGAGCAAGCTCTAATCCATACCTACAGTCCCAAGCCCAAGCCCAAAACCAAATTTTGAAGGCCTTACTCATGGCCAACAGGGATGGGGCCAATCTAATCTGAGGGGAATGCTGTTCCAATGAGTGGGTGCTCCAACAGAAAAGGCTCTCATTCTGGTCCCCAGTAGACAATAGTTCCTATTTGATGGTATCTGATTGGATAGAATGGATAGAAACAATACAGGAGTGCAGGGAAAGAATCCCATAAGTATGTATGTGTTAACACTCAATATGCATAACTCTATATGTATGTAATTATCATATATTTATAATGCTACCCAATTCATCAGCAACTCTGGGTGATGTACATAATTAAAATCAAGGTATCAAACATCAGAGGGGAAAAAAGTCATTCAGGTGAAGCAAACCATAATATCCAGCCCATAATATCCCTCACAAGAGAGCCCAAATGCCATCTTAGCCCAAAACCTGGTGGGGAAAAAAGCCAAGGCCTCAGAACCTGATTAAAATATGTCAGAGTCAAAGTCATGAAAACCTCAAACTTACATAACAGATATGAGGGATGTTAACTTAATTTGTCTAACAGTACCATCTTTGTCAGATTGATGAGCTTTATTGCTGGCTCAGCTGAATTCAGTAGAAATTGTTTTAAAGTGTGCTTTACAATTGGTGTGGTAGAACTTCAGAGGACACTGAAGATAAGTCAGAAGTGAGAAATGAAGCTTGAACTACTAATTGAGTTATCATTCCTAGGTACCTATATGTGTTCTGCATATCTGTTCTTCATAATTTGCCCGAAGTTTAGATGACACAGCTTTTAAATGGACCATTTACCCCTCACACAGAAAGTTAGAAGTATGAGGGGGAACATAGATTTAGCAGATGATTAGTAAGGGGCCTACTTCTTTTTCATTCTGTCAACATGCAGAAGAGCTGCCATGGCTCCCTTTCGGGTTATCAAATCACATCCTACAAAAATATCCCAATGATCAAGGTTACAATTGTACAAAGTTACACAGTTAACAATTCACGTTTTTTGGCTATTGTCTGCAATTAGATAAGGGCACTGGTGACAATCTACTGCTAGTTGCCAAAGTGGGGAAGATTCAAATGAACCAGGTAAATAAAAATGCACTGATTTATTTATTGATTAAGACTGAAGTTCATAACACCAAATAGGGGCAAAAAACCTCATCGAGATTGTGGCTACAATTGTGTATTGCTCCAACTAATAGAAATTATATTAACATATTATATTAATTATATTAGGTCAGTTTTTTCACCACCGGATTTTTTGGGATATTTGGAATTTGTTCTATTTCAAGAGAAAGTCATTCAAAATTCTACCCTTAACAGCATTATCAAATTAAAAAAAGTACTAGTGCCAACCAGAAGCGGATTCATAAATTACGCTAAATTGTACTGTGAAGGAATTTGTTGACTAAAATACAGCACAGAATGAAATGTTCCCGAGGGCTGTAAATTGTGTTAGATTGTGGTTATTTTTACTACACATTTCATATCCAGACTAATGCCAGCAGTGCTCTGTTATCTCTCACATCTCCTCTAAGGTCCACCGATTCTGGCTATAAATGTATCATTTAAACTGATGATTAACAAAGCAATATCTGTATACAGCATATTGTACATCTCTGTAATGCCACCATCAAGACTACATGGAGCAAAAATACTTTCTGGCAGTTCCCAAAGCCTTTGAAATAGCAGTTGAGAATTAAGTATGTTTATTCTATCTTAATATAAGAAACCTGTTCATGAAACTCTTTTTCCAGCATACGTAAAAAACATGTGCACAGAGTGGATTTCCAATAACCCATTTAAAAAATGAAATGATTTAGCTTTTTAAAAAAATAAAATTGCATACAATAAAATTGCATACATGATACTTTTTAAAACAGCCAATATGTTTCCATTTTCCTAGCCAAAATCAGTTCAGCGGGAAGAAAAAAATTGGTTCCCCTTTTTTGTAACGTTCTTCCCTTTTAACAACACTATACTCGGTTATTTCAAATAAAGAAATATAGTTGAGGGAAAGCAAACTATTCCATACCTTTGGGATCAGCAGTTTCATTTTAAGAGGCAAACACTAATGCATATTTACATTTAATTTTCAGTTTTGTAAAATGTTTCTCATGTGTGGATTGATAATTAGAGATGCAGAGAGTGCATTTAATTTTTTCTTTCCATACTGTTGTCCTGATGAAAATCTCTTTCCTAAAGCTAATACGTGGGCACGATGTATTAGCTGATAACCCTACTGGTTATTCCTAAAAGTTATCACTATCTCCCAGACAACAGAATGCCAGAATTGGAAGGGACCTCGGAACTCTTCTAATCCAAGCCCCTGCTCAGACAGGAGACCTATACCATTCTGGATAAACGGCTGTCCAGTCTTTTCTTTAAAAAGCTCCAGTGATGGAGCATTCATAACTTTTGGAGGCAAGCCGTTACGTTGATTAATTATTCTCATTGTCAGGAAATTTCTCCTCAGTTCTAGGTTGGATCTCTGCTTGGTAAGCTTCCATAAATTACTTCTTGTCCTTGGGTTAGGTTTAGGTTTGGAGAATAGGTAAACCTCCTTCCCTGTCACAGCCCCTCAAATATTGAAAGACTGCTATCAGGACTTCTCATTGTTAGACTAGACATATTGAGTTCGGGCGAACATGTATCATATATTTTAGCCTTCGACCCCTTAGGGGTTGGCAGGTGTTGTGAAGATGAGCTACCTCTGCCAGCTAACTGGGGATAAATGCAGAAAGCCTGCGGACAATATGTGGTCTGCAGACTATGGAGTGACTGTGCACAAGAGTTACAAGGATATGCCTTATAAACAGACTTAGAAAAGTAAAAGCGAGGGGTGGGGAGGGGAGATTCAAAGAAAAGTGCTTAATCAAGAAGTGTAATTGTATGCTCAGAAAAAAGAAAAAGAAAAAAAATGCAATGTTGGATGATTGAAAAGATCCAAAGGTTAGAAGGAATGTGGAGCAGTTGGCCTTTGGGGAAATAGCTAAGTCTTGGAGTCATTTTATAAACAGGTAACTCTCTCCCTTATTCACCCATGTGATGGGTGAGCTTCCATTCTTGCTCCACCTTCTGCCAATCTAGCAGTTAGGAAGCATGCAAATGCAAACAGATAAATATATCCCAATAGGTGGGAAGATGTTCTATGCTGTTAGA